TTACTGAAATATTTTTATCTGACTAAAACATCATAAATTTTGAAATTTTTAGAATGTCACATCTGTTGAATTTTTGTCTGACTCAATCATTTATAAAAATGTTATTTTCGTAATATTTTATCTGACTAATAATTTTTTTTTTTTTTAAATTTTTGGAGTGTCACAGTAGCATACCGATTACAATTGACTCCGGAATTGGAGAAAATACATAATGTATTCCATGTGTCTATGCTTAAGAAGTATATTCCGGATCCATCTCATGTGCTAGAGAAACCACCCGTGGAAATACGGGAAGACTTGAACTATGTCATTCAACTGGTAAGGATACTTGATAGACAAGTAAAGAAGCTAAGAAGCAAGAAAGTTCCAATGGTTAAAATCCTTTGGAAGAGTGACCGAGTTGAAGAAGAAACTTGGGAGACTGAAGCCTCGATGAAGGAACAGTATGCATTTCTGTTTGAATAATCGTTGTGAATTTCGGGGACGCAATTCCCGTTAAGGGGGGGTGAACTTGTGACATCGTCCCCAAGCATGTTTACTTTTAGTAAATGATGTAGTAAACCTTGAAGGATGATTTATGAATTTACGTAATTGTTAAAATTTTATTATTTCTTTTACGTGAATAGTAAATTGCATGTGGGGCCCACAGCGGGAACGGGGACCGCCCGATAATTCCCGAACCACATATTATATTCATCTTGGTCTAGATGACATCTATATGGTGGTGGATATTCTATTTGGACCATAAGAAAGGCATGAAGTTGACCGGTTGGTCAAACGGGGCTCAATTACCGGTATTGGTAATTTAGCGGGTAACAGCCCGAAATGAGTTTCGGAGACTCCAAAATTAATGTTGGGGAATGTACATCTATTCTAAAGACCCGTAATTATTAGGAACACGTGACATATTTTATTTGGTCCGATAAAATAAAATATGATTAAAACGGGCCGAGAAATACAACTTTCGGGGCCGATTGTACACACCGGGACATAATGGGATGACCTCCCACATAAGTGGGGGCCACCCCACGTTTTTAGGGGTGCTGATTGACCAAGTAATAAGGGAGGGGGAGCAATCAAACGTGCTGTACGCACAAGGGAGGGGGAGGAAGTATCCTAGAGACAAGGATTACACCCTCATGACCCCATCATCCAAAAAATCATATGGGTTGAATGGATAGGTGATACCCCCCTATGCTAGCACCATTCAGACCTTTCATTAGAGGAGAACTCCAGGAGGATAACTCTCAAAGACAAGAACCCAGAGAAAGATTCAGGGAAGGTCTTCCAAGGAGAAAAGGATTGTTATTGAGGTAAGAACTCAACAAACAACCTTTTAACTAGTTTTATGGTGTATGATTTTTGAGAAATCATATGGTGGATTAAACCATGAGTTCTACACGTTTAAAAGTGTAGAATGTTGATATAAAGTGGTGGTAATTAACTTAGGAAGGTTGGCAAATCGATAGGAGTCGAAATCGCTGGAAACCGCCACTTCAAAGGAGCTAGTCGTAGTTGCAGACCACGAAAGCCGCCCGGCTTTGGCCCAGAAATCCAGCTTTTCACTTTCAATCGGCCTAGAACGGGGATTGATCGAGGGGCTTAACAAAGGCAACTATCGTAGCACATCACGAGGTGAGGATGGCTGACTATATTGCTTATAATTAGTGAGTTAATTTCATAAGATTGCTTAAAGTAATTAGATGGGATTTTCATGGATTATTAATGATTAATAATGCCTAAATGAAAATAATATTGATATGAGTAAGTGAAGCATGATATACAAATTTAGAATAATTGTGTATGATTATGTGAAATGAATGGAACGACATGTTAATGGAATTACTATGATGACATTGTGATAAAATATACTTTACGTCATGTATGAAATTCATGAATGGATTAAAGTGATATTTTGATATTGAGATCAAACTATACTTGTGTTGGGAAATCAATTGAAATGAAATGCCAATTGGAAAATAGGAACTTGGCATGTTCTAGGACATTCAATTAGTATCAAAATGCTAGTCGAGGAAATTAATATAAATAAATGATGAAACAAATCCTAAGAGGTAGGATTGTGAATAGATATGCCTTAAGTAGTCTCAAGAGATACTTTAAGGTTAAATTGTATGAACACTAAGGTGTGATGGGGGTAGGCCTAAAGGCTACCTACGGAAAATGATTCTAGGCATAGGATTTGCTTGGGAATTTGATTATGAAAATAATTAGAGTTGGACTCTAGGATGACATGGAAATGTAGTTGGGCCGAGCCCATGCCATGTAATATGATTAGCATGGAAACGTAGTTGGGGCGAGCCCTTGCCATGTATATGTGATCTTCGTGAAAACGCAGTTGGGACGAGCCCTTGCCACGAAGTTATGGTTGGTATGGAAACGTAGTTGGGCCGAGCCCTTGCCATACAAATTTTGATATGTTATATTGAGTTAGAGGATTGTATAGAAATGTAGTTGGGCCGAGCCCATGCTATACAATTTGGGCTCGATGGGACCCCACGGGGTTATCGTGACTTGCGGTCACGGGGGAATGGAAATGAGAAATTCTAAACGATTATGGGCCCACGGGCCGACTACTTGACTCTATATAAAGTAAGCACAGTTAAAAGAAAAAGGGGTAACCGAGGGTTATGGCCTATGATATAATAGTACCCTAAGTTGAGGATCTTAGAAATTAAAAACATCAATTATACTTAGTATAGTTGCTATTGTACTTGTCAAATATTTCCAAGTACTGACCTCCCCTTCACGGGGGAGGCCACCTCACAGTTTCAGGTAGAACTTGAAGGTTGCTGCCACCGCCCGTTGCTTCGGGAAGATCAAAGGGAGAAGACGTGGTTCGTGCTTCTTCCGTTTCTGTTTTGAAACAACTTAAATAATGCTCATGGATATGTTTTTTGAATAATTATTTGGGGGCTTGTACGCCCATGATTGCCAAGGTGTGGCACAAACACTTATGTTAAATGTTTCCGCTGCTATAAATGTTTATTTTACATTATGTTTGTTTATGGATGTACTATGTGTGAATGGTATTCAAGACGCCTTGTATAGTATGGATGAGTCGGATTGCGGTTGACTATTCGTACTGTACGACGGGTTGTTGACGTGTCCGGGTAGGTCCGGGGCGTGACATTAATTAATTAGCCTAATTATGCATGATATTAGTATTATTTAATATATCACAACGATTTAGTAATTACAATGCATTTACAAATATTTTTTAGATGACACCAATTTTATTATGGTTCTATTATTATCAAATTAGCCGCAATATATTATACTAGAGATAATATATACTTTTATTATAGCCTAAGTATATAATACACTAAGTAATTAATACTTATATTACACTAATATCAGTGATATATACTCATTATGTAATAATATTTAAGATAAGCCTATGATATCTAATTATTGATTATACAACGATCAATTATAGTCAAATTTAACTCTAAAATTCAATTTAACAATCTAAATTAAAAAATTTACAAATTACTAAATTAACTACTTCTACACTCTTAAAATGACAACAAATAAAACCAAATCATTGTGAATTCTATTTAACTTGAACAATACATACCAGGAGATTCGTAGTTCTGAAACGTTTGGCGGTTGTTCCTCCGACCATATACTGATGATGGGCCTTCCTCTCCGGGAGTTTCGTGGAACGTCAAATTTTGTGGCGGGGTCGTTGAAGCTTTCACGTAAATGTGCAATTCATCATACTCATTTTTAGCGATCCGAAAAAAATGACGCCATGTCTGCTCATCGTGAATGGGCCATAATCTAGAAGCAACATATACCGAATTCTTATTTTTTGGCAATTTTTCGTAAACTAATTTAATTTTGGAAAATCCGTCGCCTCTAACATGATTTAGAACATTCTCATGTATACTAGTATAATCATCTCCTTCACTAATGAATAGTATCACCCTAGGAGGTATGAAGTACTCTATTTCATCATCTTTTTGAGATGTAGAGCCATTCCAATGAACCATAACAACAGTATTGCCCTCGGTAGACATTTTTTTATATGAGAAGAGAGTGCCTAAACAGAAAATATAATGAATATATTAAGAGAGATGTGTTTTTGGAGTGTGCTTGAAAATTTTGAGAACAAATCAATGGGTTTTATAGGAGTTGGTGTGGTTGAAGTTTGGTAAAAAGTTAGGCCACAAATTATACACGCTAAAATAAACGAGGTTTTCACTTTACCCAAACCTGAATTCGGAAGCCCTCCCCTAATCGGATTTGCCAAATCCGACTCCCGTAATTTTGTAACCTAATAGGAACTCCCGCAATTCGGCTTGTCAGATGAGAAACCCCGTATTGTGGTAATTTTCTCGAAAACACGTAGCACTGTCGTCAGTCCCGGTGCCACTATTGCCGGCCTAGTTGTATATGGTAATGCGAAGTACTCCCTCCGTCCCGGTCATTTCTTTCGGATTTGACCGGTATCGCAAATTAAGGTAGTGAGAATAAAGTGAAAATGTATGCTTGTAGTTGTGTAAGAAAAATGTGAATTAATGTGAACCACATATTATTTCCAAAAGTGAAAGTTGCAAGAATTAATTGGGACGAGCAGGGGCGGACCCAGGAAAGTCATTTTGGAGGGGCGAAAATATTTTTGGGGGGGTTCAAAATACTTTTTGAAAGAACAAAAATCATTTTTCGTATATATATACACTAAAAAAAAATTGTTGGGGGGCGGTAGCCCCCTGGGTCTCTACTACGATCCGTCTCTGGGGACGAGACAAAAAGGATAGTCGGAAGAAATGACCGGGACGGAGGGAGTACTTCGTGTAACCCATCCAACGGTAGCAAAGTTACCTGTAAAATAAAATGTAAAATGTTGGGTGATATTGTTTTGTTTTTCGCAATTTGTACATAAGATACCAGTATGGTGACGTATACGCGTTCGTCAGCCATGATATACTAGTTGCTTCACCTATTATATACTCCGCTTCGTATTAAAATATAACGATCTAAATTAAACGCCATTTCATCCCTGAATCAACTCTCCGGTCCCAATTTTAACCATGAAACAATCGCCCCGATGTGAGAACAACTCCGGCGCCACCTCGAGCGAAGGCTCGTGCGATTCCGGCAGCATCCACGACATCGATTGCGCGCTGCTCGTGGCGGAGAATGCGATCATCATCTTCGGCAGGCGCGGCTGCTGGATGTCCTACGTCATGCAGCGGTTGCTCTTGGGCCTCGGCGCCAACCCCACCATTTACGACGTCGATGTGGAGGACGAGCTCGTCGTTGCCAACCAGCTTTCCCGGATTCGCAGCTGCACTGCAGGTCCCGCCGCTCGTATGCCGTCGTTTCCGGCGGCTTTCATCGGCGGGAAGCTCCTCGGTGACTTGGACAAGGTTTTGGCGGCTCATATCGCCGGCGATCTGGTGCCTCTGCTTAGAAAAGCGGGTGCCCTCTGGCTTTGACCCGGAGTCTCACACTTTCTTGATTTTTTCTTTAATTTTTTAAAGGTCCCTCTAATTGTAAAATAACAGAGTCTTTGTGTATCGCTATATGAACTCAACCTATATTTGATTATCAATTTTTAGATCCTTGAATTTCCACTTAAACTAATATAGTACTCGTGCATAAGCCCAGACAAAACATTTGGTACACATATTTGTACTCACGGACTAATTAAATATTAGAATAAAAATCACCTTTTATGATTCTACATTTTCGAAAAATAATAGTACAATAAGCTAATACCATATACGAAGTATATACTCAATAAAGAGTATATTAGGAAAAATCATTTGACATCATTCATTAGAATTTTCTTTTTATTAATTTTAAATTTAATCACTATTCTAAAGCAATTAGTACAATAAGTTAGTGACATAAAGTTTAAGTGAATATTAGTTAAATAAGAACTTGTTACTCATTGGTAAATTAGTGCTAATATATGAAAAAAGAAAATTATCTTGCTCAATTCTTAGTCAGCTTATTTTATACCTAAAAGTAATACATATGAGAGAAAACTCTCTCACTCAATTGTTAGTCACATTGTCCTAACTTCTTATATCTAAAAGTACTACATATGAGAGAGAAAATTTTACTCCTTAATTGTTAGCCGATTTATCTAATACGTAAAAGAACTACATATATGATAATTCGCTCATTCAATTGTTAGGAAATTTATCTTCTAATACCTAAAAAAATACATATGTGATAGTCCCTATTCTTAACAATCAAACAATCGTAGCAGATAAAGAAGAAGCGGATAGAAAGATATGAAGATGAAAACCAAATATGGTATACCGTGAACTGGCCGCTGCTCTCCCTCGAGAAGGAGAGCAGCGGCAAACCCTACTCTCTATCTCGCCTCTATGCTCTCAAGCCTCGAAACCTTAGGGTTTTCATAAGTTAGACTCCTTTTATAGGAGAAGTTGGCTAACTTGTGGATTATATTACACATTTGTTGTGATTCAGCTTCCTTTGTCTTTGAACTTGACTTCATGAGAAGGCTTTCTGAAGAAATTCTTGCAATCTCCCCTTTGATGACTTCTTGGCAATTTGAGCTTTGATGCCGGGGGTTGAGGAATCTTCACTTGGCTTGCTTGTAAGACTTGCCTTCAGAAGTAGCTCTTGATCAGCTTGAATGAAGTCTGGTGTCGTCTCTAGAATGAATGTTCTTGAAGAATTGCTGACGCACATGGAAATCATCTTCAGAATTCGAGTATGTGACCTTTGTCTCCTCCACAATGTAGTCTTTTTGACTATTCGAAGTGAATGCGTTTGAGGAGACCTTGTCGGTGGCACAGCGGAAAAAGATGGTTGTCTTATGAGCGTAGCTGACCATTTGAGGTGTAGAGATAGAAGAGAGTCGTTGAAATTTTTGATATGAGAGAAGTGTCCGAGAATGATTCGGTGACATTTAACAACATGTGGATCATTCTCCCCCTCATGACGATCCGATAAATCTGGGCGTCATGCCTTTATTCTTTTATTCGAACTGGGAAACAAAACAGTAAAACAACACAAAGTAATGAGAGATGAGGTTCCCCGTGAAATGTGATTAAACACTTGTTTGTTGAAATTTCTAATGTGGACTAGACATTTACCAAATCAGTCCAAACTAAAATAGACAAAACCAGACCAGAACTAAAATTTTTAGTCCAATTAAAAATATCCTAAATGCAAAAAAAAAATCATATCCAATATTATGCGGAGTACAAAAAGTAAAACTATAGGTTTGGTTTGTTTCTCATTTAAAACACCAAGATCTTTCGTCATGCCTGGCGTCACTGTGGCCCGGTCTATTTGTATGCTGAAATAACCCTATCTCAAAGGGAGCAAAATGATCTGTAAAATAAAATGTTGGTGATATTGTTTGGTTTGTAGCATTTTGCATATAGGGACCTCAATGCTCAAAGTCTCAAACTACCAATTTTGTGACATAAACACTTACGTCAGCATAACTAATTAATACGGACTATCCCTTTTCTCGCTCATTTGTTACCCTTTTTTCTTTTTCTTTTTGACAGAAAAATGAATTCTTAACATCAACTCATGATATACTACGTATGGATTATGGAGTATATATACTCCCTCCTATCCTTAATGAAGTTTACACTTTGACTTCACACATATTAAGGAAATAAATTTGACTTTACTGTAGAGTACATTGTTTGGCACTGTTTGACACTATTTAATATGGGACGACCCAAAAAGGAAAGTGTAAAGTTAATTAAGGACCGGTGAGAGTATAACGATGTAAACGCCGTTACACCCCTGACACAAGACACAACTCTTTCCCAATTTCAACCATGAAACAAACATACACGTCACCGCGTTGCGAGAATAACTCCGGCGCTACCTCAAGCGATGGCTCATCCAATTCCACCAGCGGTGACACCGATTACGCCCTCCTGGTGGCGGAGAATGCAATCATCGTGTTCGGCAGGCGTGGCTGCGTGCTGCATGTGCTACGTCATGCAACGGTTGCTCTTAGGGCTCGGGGCCAACCCCACCATTTACGACATCGATGAGGAGGACGAGGTTTCCGTCACCAATCAGTTTTCCCGAATTATCAGCTGCTGATATTCATGTAATTTCCGATTGTATGTTTGTATATTTAACTAGTTTTTATTAGTTCTAGTTGAGGAAATTACACACTTTTGGTGTAATACTTTATTTTCATATTTATTTGTAATTTGTTTAGATTAGGACTTTTCTGAGCTAAACAGGTCAAAGATCATCCAAGGGATCAAGATTGAACCTTAAAAGATCAAGGAAAGTGCAAGGAGGCAAGAAAGATTTCGATTTGGAAAAAATACTCATGTACCCGGTCGGGTATTTGCTTGATTCGATTGTTCAAATCAAATCCGGGAACAAATTATCGTGGGAGCAAGATTTCGTTAAGATTTGTCACATACCCGATCGGGTATGCCGACATACCCGATCGGGTATGCCCAGAAAAGTGAATTTCTGGGAAATTTCCTAAGATACCCGGTCGGGTATCCTATATACCCGGTCGGGTGTCAGCCCATGCAGCTCCCAAAAGCCTATAAATACACCTCTTTCCTTCACAATAAAATCACCGATTCCTATATACTTCTAAGCTCAGTCTAGAATAGTTCTTTCTTTGTATTTTCATCATGTTTAGTCTCCAAATGAGGAGCTAAACTCTCCCATCTTGGTTTTGCTACTTGAAGCTTAATGAATTTGTGAGTTATTCTCTTTAATTTTCTTCCTTGAATATTAATTCTTCCTTTAAATACTGTTTCTATATCAATGTTGGGAAGTGTTACTAAGATGACAATTAGTTAACATCTTGACATTAGTTATAGTAATAGTTATTTCTTCTTCTATGTTAATATTGGGGAGTGTTACTAAGATGACAATTAGTTAACATCTTGATATTAACTATAGTAGGATTCATACTCTTTAATATTCTTCCTTGAGTATTAATTAATTCATATTCATATTTCATATTAATATTTTGAACATTACTTAAAGGATCAACTTGTTTTGTTTCATATATTAATTATCACTACAATCAATCGATTAATACGCTTGTTATTAATTCGGTTCTTTCAACGGTAGTAAAACTTGGGTTATTAATGCATGCGTCTCATGGTTAATAATCTAAGGGGGATTAATTATATTGATTAAACCAATAAACCGCTTGTGTTGAGTTTATCAATCTCAATCGTTTTCATCTTAAGTTTATTGCTACTATCGGGCCAATATACGACGCTTGTTCTATATTAACTCGGTAGTAAGTTTTATTAATGAACGTGTCTCGTTATTAATAACTACCCTCGATGAACTGGATATACTCCTCGATTGAGTATTCGAGAGGAAGATAGTTAAAGATATAACCGGGATCGACGAACATTTCATTAAGTGGATAAAAGCAAAACCAAGTCCTCATCTCTATTAATTAAACTCATATAGGTTGTTCATCTTAGTTTTAAATTAAATTAAATCATCCAACAAAACCCCCCTTGTTACTAGTTACATAAAAGATAAATATTCCTTTCCCTGTGGATACGAACCTTACTTCACTATACTACGTATTAGTGTTTTATTGATTTATTATTTTGAGTGCACCTCACGACAAGTGCACGTCAAATTTGGCGCCGTTGCCGGGGAAAGGCAATTATTTTTCTTTTTATTTTATCTCAAAAAAATCAAAACAAAAAAAAAATTAAATAAAAATATAAAGAGTTCTTATTTCTTCTATTTCTGAGCTTGGTGAAGTATATGGTTAAACACCGTTCTATAAACGAGATCACCTATCAAACAAACCCAGAAATAGAACAAACTTTCGAGCGGTTGAAAAGTAAATTTTCTAATACCGACTCGGAGGAATCGTCTATCAGAGACTCATCCAGCGCTAGTTCTCATTCTAGCGAGACCGAAGAGTCAATAACCATGGCTCTTGAGACAAGAACACTACGGGAGCTCACTGCTCAAAATCTCAATCAACAACCATTATGTATTACCTTCCCTACACTCGATGAAGGTAATACATTTGAGCTAAAATCTGGGCTCATACATCTACTGCCATCCTTTCATGGCCTAAGAGGAGAAGATCCGAACAAACACCTTTCTGAGTTCCATATTGTGTGCACAAGCATGTGCCCCAGTGGTGTCTCGGAAGAACAAATCAAATTGAGGGCTTTTCCATTCTCCCTCAAAGACACTGCAAAGGATTGGCTATTCTATCTTCCCTCGGGAAGTATAGACACATGGGCAGCAATGAAAAAATGCTTCTTGGATAGGTACTATCCCGCCTCAATCTCATCTTCTTTAAAAAAACAAATAAGCAACATTGAGCAAAAAGAAGATGAAACATTGTATGAATATTGGGAGCATTTCAAAAAGTTGTGTGCTAGTTGCCCATATCATGGGTACACCGAGCAAGACCTCATCCTCTATTTTTATGGTCTTGCGGATCAAGATAGACGCATGGTGAATGCGGCATGTGGAGGGGGAATTGTTAACAAAACCCCTTCTCAAGCAAGGAATCTCATCTCGGAGATGGCCGAGAACTCCACACATTACAGTGGGCGATCCTCAACTCGAAGGGTTGCCGCAGCAGAATCCAACACCTCGTTGAAAAGCCAAGTTGCCAGTTTGACTTCTCTGGTCAAAGAACT